TGTTCTGGAACAGTGTTGTAAATACAACTTAACCACAAGTAGTTTTGCTTTCACAACGAAACACAACGTCACACACGGTGGCTTAGAGTGAGCAGAGGCCGGGGGCTAAAGTGAGGAACGGCCGGAGGGCTAGAGTGAGCAGAGGCGGCGGATACTGCTTTCTGTGATCGGCCTCAAAAATCCTGATCGGAGCATCCTTACTGTCATCATTTATTTTACTCACTCTCATTCATTTTTGGGTGAACTATCCCTTTAAACCTTATCTTGGTGACAACTGGTAGTAATATTAACTTTCACACCATGAATTAGAGGAGAAGGTACCAATCAAATTTGGCTGTTTAGGAAATATTTATGCTATTTTACATGGAGAAAAATGAAATCAGCTGTGTATGATTGTATTTTACTCGTTTGTTTGAAATATAGTATTTAAATTCATGACTTATTTGGGTAGTCAAATAATGAGGAACATAGATTCTTCACTTTGTTATATTAATACTCATCTGTAGGCTGGTTGTTTCAAAAATATGAATATTGTATAAACATTCTGTAGATAAAAGCATGAGATAATGCACCATAACTAGTGGTTGACCGATATATCGCCAAGGCCGATTTGGCATTTTTCAAATATCGGCATCGGTCGATAAGTTTTTCTGTTTGGCCGATGTGTTTTATTTTGACGGCGCTGAGAATGTCATTCAGTTCTGTCTAATATGGATATAAGTCTATCTAATAATCAGATAGAACTGTTAAACAAATGAATTAAAATGTATACAAAAAGTATTATAACGATTGCTTTAATATTATTAGTAATAGAAAGGCAAACATTATAATACTTTCTCATTTGCCGTCAGCATTCAGCAAACATGCATTTATATAATTTAAACAAATCTTTGAATGACTAATGAACATTTAATTTCACAAACCTTGCAGACTTAGTCGAATCTAGTTGAGATCTTGTGAAGTGTGCATTTGTATCCTGCATGATCGCATGTTCTCTGTGTGGCGGTCGGTCCGTGCGAATTGAATGCTGACAGGAGGAGAGTTCAGCTTCACTGGAGACGCGCGATCGACAAACTTTAAACTAGTGATTTCAAATTATGCTGCGCTTTATGCTGTTGCCCATTGTCATATTCATGTCATTTTCATTGCGTGCTGTATGTGTTACCTTTGGCTTTATTAGAGAGAAAAAAAATAAATATGATTCACACAAACTTCCCAGAATACTGAGTGCCCTGTTGGTTACCATGTTTACTTCCTTTTTAATTAGATTTTTATTAAATATTTATTTATTTGTGAAAAATGCTTTGTCATCTAAAGTATAAGTATGTTTATTTTACACAATTATTTTTAATCCATTTTCAAATTATTTGAAATTTCTTAAATATAAATAAAATTATATCGGCTTTATATCGGCCATCGGCCACCCTGCTTTCCAAGATATCGGCATTGGCTGTCAAAAAACCCATATCGGTTGACCACTAACCATAACTCATTTTTTGACTTCATAGATGTGCTTTACATATTATGTCCTGCTGTTTCAGTGGGTGGAGATACAGTAGACCTTTGATTCAAAAGCACAATTACCTGATGGCGTGCCAGTGAACCTGCTACAGGAAGTGAAGAGTTCCTCCGTGTCTGTGGAAATGTGAATTTCTCTCTTACATGAGTGTGTAAATAGCTCTCTGAATTTGGGTCAGGCTTTTCGGAGTGTTTTGAAAGCCTTGGTGATTCCCACTTCTAAAAATATTTTGGAGGAAGTTAACACTAGGCGGGACAGAAATCTTGGTGACTGGCTGACAAGTGACAACCTGAGCCAGGCAGTTGCCTAGCAACAAGTTATAAGCTACAATAATGGCTATTTTTTTCACAGATTCCAGGCACTCTTTATTCGAGCACAGGCCTCTAGGTTTCAGTCCAAGACGTTTCATTGTTGAGCAATCAAGAGAGAGATTAGACTGTTTTAAATAGCTCATCTCAGAAGGGGGAATTACTGGATACTCAACATTGTTGACCCGGTTAGTGGGTTGAAGTGCCACATTTGGTAGCTTTGTACATTGAATAGACAGAAGTTTGTCATGCTGGTAAAAAGTGCTTTGAGGCTGTTTTACCATGCATAAAATGTCCCTTATATCTGACAGATAGTGAAATTGGTGTCACGTTGACAGCCCTAGGCTATGCAAACAGCTCAAAAAATGCTTTCTGCTTGTCAGTCATTTTGCAGGTTTGGATTTGCTGACGTATGTTTTCTGACATATGACATTTCCCCAAACTAAATTATGATTTTGCTCAATTTTAATGGTTCTTTTACATGATTAACCATAAACAAACCATCAGTTTAATATCTCGGTGATACACTGAATCATTAACTTTGAACAATGATAGAAAAAGTATGTAAACACTTTACTGAACCATCAGCAGCCTGCCGTGCCAAGTGGGAATTGAACTTGGCAGGTATTTCTTATTTCCATTTCCACTGCTGAACTTTAGTCCAGGACTCATGAGGTTTAGAGAGATTTGATTTGCTATAGCAACCACACAGACAGCACTGTAGATAATGCTCACTGGTCATAAATCACAACCAGAAGGTGAAACCACAAGTGAAACTTTATAATATTATCACAGTTCTCATGTTACCAATGACATTGTTGTTTTTTTTAATGCATTTAAGTGAGACGTCTGAATGCACATGTAGCTGAGAAGAAAACATTGAGTGTGAATAGGCCTTAAATTCCCTGAACTCTGTGTTTGTATTCTAAAATTTCAGTGCGTAGTTTAGAGCACAGTAACATCATAACACAGACTTAACATTCTAAGCCTTTCTCTTCATGCAAATCTAGTCTGTGTGAATTTGAATATACCGTATATCCAGTTCTGAACCTAATGACACTATTCTCTGTAGACAGGGCGTTGTTTAAATTCACTGAGCTCCATCTCTTGTGTGGGCTTTCTCAGGGGCTAGTTGTATGATTTCAGGTGTCTTTTATGGTTGAGTCTGGTTACTCAATCAGAAATGAGCAGGGTGTGTTCATGATGATTCAGCCTATGCATATGAGCAACAGCTGTTACCCAAAACTACACAAAAATGGACAGCTCATCCAAGGGTCTTTTTACGACCCCCCAAAAAAGGGTCAGGCCACAGATGTACTGTAGTGTCTGTTTACTGTGGAACCGAAGATTTAGTTCTAAAAGAGAGTTTCAGAATCGCCACAGTTCTGGAACCTCTGCTCAGTTGTGGAATTTTGGCATTCAGAACATTTTAGAATTCTATACTTTTTGTCACAGTAACATTTTTGAATGAATGAATTAATAATTTATTATTATTCATATTATTTTAAGTCTCTGTTGCTCATCAAGGGTGCAATTTATTTCCTCTGATAAACTGTAATGTCTGAACTGTCCTGTGCGAGTCCTCAACAGCCAGCGCCTGACGCGTCGTCTTCTTGCTTTACGGCAGATCGCAGACTTATTAGTGCATTACCGCCACCTATCTCTCAAATGGACCATTGACACTCTGTCTACAACAACATTTATTTAAAATAGAAATCATTTTGTTACACTTAATTATCTTTAATGTCACTTTTGATTAATTTAATAAATAATAGTGTTAATTTCCAACTTCATATACTATGTTCATCATTATATTTAACATTCTTTTGTTCAGAAACGGCTGAATGTGTGGGTCTGTTGACATTTTTGAAGTGTTATTAATTGTAACTTTTTGGATAGGGATGGGTCACAAAGGTCAACGTTTCATCCAAAAAACAACTTTTCAACCATTATTCCTATCCAAGACACCATGATAGAACCATACACTAATTTTTGTTATGTTAAATGATTATTATGCATCATAAAAAAAGGTTTCGCTGCCTTTGTTAAATAGATAAATACATTTGATAAATTCCCTGATTAGAATCTCCATTGCAATTTTTTTTTCAGGAGAGGTGTGTCTGTCTTGATGAATCTCTGCTGAATCTCAGTGTTTTCCTCAGAGGAGTTTATGTTGAAGTTGTGATAGCTGCAGGCTCACACCTTTGTCAAACGTTTAAGTTGCGATTGTTATACTGTGTCAGAGTGAAATGCCAGATGCATGTGTGATGACTGACCATTCACAAATCTAGACTTATGATTAACCCATAAACTCTTTATCACCTTCGCTCCTCTTTTATTCAGCGCAAATAACATTATTGTCACACTTATGCTTTTTCTGTCTGTCTCATCTATTTCAGAACCACCCCTCTCTGCTTTAATATGGAGTGAGAAATTAACACCTCTGAAATTACTTTATTTAACTGTTGGCATCCTCTGGGATGGTTAGCACTTATTAAAGTAAATCAGAAATGTTTCACATGGCTCGCTCTGGAATTTAATTTCCCTCCCTGCCTCTTCAATTGCGTCAGTGCCGAGAGAGGCGCCATCCAATGGCAGCTGCTCCAGGGACTCCTAACATTTATCAGTTGATCGGGCTTTCGAGAGTCATGCTGTAGGAGATCCTTTCACCCCCAGCTCCAGTGCCAGCAGTCATATGGGCGCTGAGGATGGTGGGGGTCGGATGGAGCCATAAGGGCAGGGTGGCAGATGATGGACTCATGATGAAGATTTCCCCGCTGAGGGGCAAGCTGCTACAGAACTCATCTCAGCAGAAAACACGCACACAGTATATCTGACTTGTCATACGTCACATTTTCCATCTACAAAGGAACTGTGGGAGGTCTGTAGACTGATTTGATATGTAAAACAGAAATTGTCTAAATGCTCTAAATCAGTGGTTCTCAAACCTGTCCTGGAGTACCCCCAGCCCTGCACATTTTGTATGTCTCCCTCATCTATCACACCTGATTCAACTCATCAGCTCATTAGTGGAGACTGCAAGACCTGAAGTGGGTGTGTCAGATATACAGTATGGAGACATACAAAACGTGCAGTGCTGGGGGCATTTCATGGAGAGGCTTGAGAACCCCTGCTCTAAATAGTCAATATTTTTAAATGACGGTACATTTTTCTTTAGCTTTTTATCTAGAAAAGGGTAAAAAGAAACATTGCAACTTATCAAATCTCTTTGTATGATTTATTTATATATATATATATATATATATATATAATTTATGATAAATGGTAATTTACATAGTACATTTTAGACCGTATTATTTTAGCATTTACTGAGAATGTAAAATGACTGTAATAATAATAATAAAAAATATTGTGTCTAAATTTTCTAAATAATCAACATTTCTTTTCATTTTCTTTAACTTTAATAGGGTCAAAAAAGGTCAAAAGAAAAGAAATTGCACTTGAACCAAGCTGTTTGTATAATTCGATAAAGAAATATAATTTAGAATAACTGATGATAAATGACAGTTTATATTATTTATAATAAATGTGTTTGTTGTCACAGTAATATTTTAGCAAAATAAAAATACTAATAATAAAGATAATAATAATAAAAAAAGATACATTTAAAATTATAGAGATATTTATGGGTTGTATTCACTGGCTTATTTTATTTTTCTAAAATGTTTTTTTCCTTTAGCTTTGCACAAAAAAAAGACATTGCAATTGAAACAAGCTCTTTGCATGGTTAGATAAATTATTTAAATGAAACTGATGATGATCAATGTTATTTTATGAATTTCACAGATTTTTAGGTGTTATATTCACTGGTTTATAGAATATTTTTGTAAATGGGAAAATTTTCTATTGCTTTTTATTTATTTAATTTTTTTTATTTTAATGTAGGCTTTAAAATATATGCATGCTTGAAACAAACAACTTTAAAGGGTTTGATTAAGTGTAAAACATTAAACAAATTTAACTGCCTCTCTGTAATACAGTATTTCATTCAAATCCAGGACATGACAAAGGCTGTTAACTGAGAAACTAGGTTAATACTGGTTTATCCTGATGTAATAATGTTTGTTAGTGTTATGAATGAAAGTTATCATACTGTGTTAAGAAGACAGTCGTTTTAATAGGGATGCACAATATACTGGCATATTGTTCCATATATTCCATTACAAAATGGAGTGGAAACACCATGACAGTATTTTTATATATGGTACAGAGTGGTTCCAGGATCAAGGTAAATAAACTTAGAATTACTTGGGAAAACGGCAATTAAGCCCCAGAGAAAGATATGAGACCATGTTGAATCCACACATAAACACATTAGTCCTGATGCCCAAGAAGGCACTTTGAGGTCAGCGATGATTTAATCGTTTCTTAGTAATATGGTTGCACTTCTGTACACTGAAATACCCTCTCTGAACTGAACTGACTGTGAGCACAGCACCAAATCATCTTGTACTTGGCTCTCTCAGAGGCAGCACGTTCCTGTATGCAGTGTGAAATTGGGGCAGGGACCAGATTAGGCAGCTGTGTGCTAGAGGTTTGAAAGAAAAGTCTCTTGTGTATCCAAACAGATGTGGCTTGTTTGGCTGTGGTGGAACTGTTTCAGGCCAGTGTTGCAAATTAAAGCTACAGAGAACATTTAGAATAAGAGATGCTTTTTCCATTCTTTTATTTCGTTTTTGAGTTTTAGTTTAGTTTTAGTATTTCAACCTAAATTTATTTATTTTCATTAGTTGCCAAGTCAACATTTCTAGTTTTCTTTTGACTTGTTATTTTATGTCAGCTTTATTTCAATTGCCGAAAATGATTAAGGTTACACTCTAAAAAATGCTGGGTTGTTTCAACCCAATGTTGGGTCAAATATGGACTAAGCCAACTGTTTGGGTTAAATTTTGGTTACATTTTTAAATGAGCTTTTTAACCCAACAGTTGGGTTAGTCCATATTTGACCCAACATTGGGTTGAAACAACCCAGCATTTTTTAGAGTGTAGTTTTAGTAAAAATAACAACTCCGCTTCACTGATGGTGCAAACCTAAATATTTTCCAAATGTTTTCCGTCTAGTCAGTGGCACTGCTGCTAAAAATATGAAAATCAAAAAAAGAATAAGAAAAGAAATTAGATCTAGTTGACTTCGCTAACTGACTAGACAGTTGTTGACTAGTCAAGAATCGGGCCATTTGAAGAAGTCCAGTTGTAGGCTGTGGTCTTTTATACTGTAAAAGAATAAATCTTGTATCATTGTGTCTTTTTTTTTCTTTCTTTTTGTAGGGACATGCTGATCTCTGACTTGGATTTGGCCATGACATACACAGAGGTGTGTGAGGAGGTGAGAACGATGTGTGGGGTCCGAAAGGAGATGCCAATTACACTCAAGTGGATTGACGATGAAGGTATATATGACCTTTGAACTTTAGCTGCAGTGACGTCAGCAGAAAAGAAATGCTTATTTAGAAAAAGAGCAAGTTACAATTAATTATTCACAATAAGACCAGGAACATGCATAAAAAAAAAGAAGATAAATTTTGATTTCGTGTGCCTATGGTAAGAGTAAATATTTGAGTCACTTTGGATATAAACGTCAGCTAAATCGGACACTTTAAAAAGTTTTGATACCAGGGACCCCTAAATATGATGATTTCCTTGCAAGGACCCCTACAGAAAATATAAAGAATTTACATTATATTAGGTTTATGATTTTTTAGTTTTTCTCTGATCCTGGAGGTCTCCAGCCCAGTGTTGTTGTTATTATTAAAGAGCAGATCATATGGGTTTTTGAAAAATATCTCTTTTGCAGTTTATAACATAGCTATCCTTAAATGAAAACAGTCTGCAAAGTTGTTAATCAAAAAAGTGCACGATAAATAAAGATATTGTCTCTCAAAAGAGAGAGTCGATTCTGAATCGCCTTAACGAGTCGTCATATTTTCAAATCTTTTGCCTGCTGCCGGTATACGTCACTGGGTAACACATTTGCATAATCCCCGCCTGCCCGCAACTCTGACCCGCCCACAAACACTTCCGCTAGTTAGTGTGTTTACATCATGTTGAGAAGACGCTGTGTTCAAGGATACCACAAAAATACAATTTGAACCTTTTGTTGTGTGCTCGTCATTTTACCGAGGACTGCTTCTCTAATCTT